TTTCCTCAATTCTACGCTCTCTGGAAGGTCATCCGCTTTTATTTGTGTAGGTACCAAAATTTTCTTTTTTGAAAAAATACCAAGCATCATAGCAGTCTGGTTACCTTTTCAGTCTCCTGCTGTAAGGCTGAGGTCACCACTTCCTCCAGCTCCTTCTGGGCCAGCTTTGTCCTTTCCTGGAGAGCTTCATACTGCTCCTTAGCCTGATGGAGTTTCTCCCGGAGAGCTGTCAACTCATCGGGGCTCAGTTTAGTCTGGTTCTCTTCCAGGAACCCTTCAGTGTCTTTGACAACACTGGCAAATGAGGTGGCATGATTCTGAATGTCGTCCTGTAAATCCTTAACACGTGAAAATAGGATAGCAGAGGCTTCAACTTTAGTTCTTCTAAGACCTCTCAACAGTACAAAGATGGAATGACTAGGACATTATCTGCAATGGACATATTTCCCTGACTATAATTTGCTAAGTTTTATGCTTAAACCAATGTAGATAATAAAATTTTAAATGCTTTTTAATTGAGAAGCTTCTAAAAATATTTAATTTTCTAAGAAAAATTTAAATTTCTAAGAAGATATTTAGTGAAGATATAAAAGGAAAATGCCCACAAATACGATTTTTATTTTGCAATGACTTATCCTCAAAGAGATCATTTCTTCTGTAAAGCAGAGTTGACAATGGGACTATAACAGTGTTGAGACCTGGCTGGTTCTTCGTAACTCTCTTGGTTATCACTCCTGAACCCTCATGTAGCCTACAAAACCCAGCATGATCTGGGTCCTGCCTCCTCCCCAGCTTTATTGTTCACTAATCTTCCTTTTGTTCTTTGCAGTACAGTCAAACTAGCTTTTTTCCAATTCTTTAGTACTGTGCTTGATCGCATTTCCACCTCCAGACTGATGGACAGGCCTCTGCCTGGCATGTCTTCTTCCTCCTCCCACCCCTTCATGTATCAGCCCCTACATATCCTTCATCTCAGTTTAAATGACACTTCTTTAAAGGAATCTTCTGATATATAAGTCAAGATCGGGTCTGTTATATCTTCTTATGTAATGTTTCCTTTATAGGTATAATAGTGAATACAATATATGCTCACTTCTGTGATTATCTGTGTAAAGTCTGTCTCTTCCATGACACTGTAAGCTTCATGAGAGCAGGGATACTTAACCATTATGTCGCTGGCACTAAGCGCTGGGCCTGGCACACAGCAAGCCTTTCTAAGTACTTACTGATGGAATGAAAAAAGTGAGTTAACTCTTACTGACCTTCAGGTCGCTTTGGTTCTTCTGCAGAGCAGAGAGATCCTGCTGGGTGGCTCTACCTTGATGGCCAGCCAATGCTCTTTCTGCCTGTCCCACCCAGCTGCAAAGATCCTCCAGTTTCTGGTGACAGGTATTTTGTTGTTTCTGCAGGGTCTAATTAAAATGCAAAGGGGCCAAGAGATAATTAATGATTCTCATTTTATAAATATAAGATAACTCCCTGAAATGTAAAATAGGAAGGTTATATCACAAGGATGGAAAAGTTGGTGGGAGACTAGAGCAGGAAAAGGCACAGAAATCATATTCAGAAAGTTCCCCTCATTTGGACAGTCTATTGGTCTGGATCTATGGTCTGAATTACAATTAGGAGTGATTTCAGGTGAGAATGCTCTGAGGTTTTGGTTTGGAAGCTCCTTTGCCAGACTGCTTCTTATCCATGGAAATGGAGAAGAGAGAGCCTAGATGCTTAAAATCCATAGATGATACTGGGGATGAAAATAAATGACAGGTTCTGATCACTTCTACAGGAACTGGATGATATACTACATATGAAGTCATAATATGGAAAATTAGAAGGACTGGAGTAGGAGGAAAAATCAAGAAACTGGATAATTTATAAGCTAATTGAGCTTCTTAATAATTAATCTGACTTTATATAAATCAAATGTCTCACAAATGCAGACACCCATTAAATGGAATGATTACTTGCCAGGCGTGAGGGGCTTGGCTATTTTGAGAAGAAGGGAAGTGCCCAAGAATAGCAATGGGCTCGGTCCTTCAGGTGTCTACACCAACAGCCAAGAGAAAAGATGGCCGAGGGGAGGAGGGATTTGCTTCTGTGCCTGATCCTTTTCCAGACCTCTCAGTCACATGACACTGAAGCACCTGATTGAGCAATTGAGCATGATGTGTTCTCCTGATCATCCTTCTAAAACCATTTTTCCACCAGTTTCTACCTTCTGATGGCATTTTGAGTCACCTGCACTTACAAACAGGTGCCCAAATTGGCCCTCTCTCCCCCGCTTTAGGACAAACAGAAAGGCTCTGGCAGAGAACTCCTAAGAGCTCTTCAGCTGCAAAACAGGATCCTCATGGGTTAGGATGGGTGCAGACTGAATCTGAAAAAAGCAAAGCAAACAAGTTAACACACAGACAAACACATGCATTCAGGGCAAATATAGAGAGAAGCAGAGCATTTCTGACAATAACAAGGTTAATAAATGTCGTGGAATTAATTACACGCTTGAAGAGAATGTTCACATGCAACTGGACCATCTTCTGCAACTCAGGGGCCTACCCTGGATGTGGGCTGTATCTTAAGGTGGCCCAGACCAATGCTATTACATTAATTATACATAAGCTATACCAAGCTGTATAAAATCCAAGTAAGGACACTGCTAATTTCCAGATTTAGAAGGTAACCTACCATATTTCATTAATATCTTACTTCAATTTTAATCCAGTTGCAACAACTAAGCAGTAACAAGGGACATACAGACTTCACTAAATATCCTGTAAGCCTGCCTCAAAAGCTCAATTCTACTATGCACAATATTTAATAAAAGAGACACTGAGACTGTTTTACTGGTGATAACAATTCTAATACTATCTTGCTGAATTTCAATTTATTATTCATACAGAATAATGGCATAAGCATCATTCTTGGTATTCTAAGGTTACGATGTTACCATGCAATTATGTTGAGCTCTACAAGAGGGTTGTGATAGAAGGTGGTAAGATGATTAGTCTCCTGCTTCCTGCAAAGTTTATCAACAGTGCTTCTACACAGGGTTTTCCACAACTGAATAAGCACTAGATACCACAGAAAGGTGCTAGAAAATAATAGTTTTCAAAGGTGCTAAAGAATTAATATGATTCTGATAAAAATCTGTTTGTCAACTGTCTGAAGGTGGTCAAGGAGTCTTACTGTTAATCATCTGAAAAGCCCTAGAATCAAACTAACTTCAGGACCATTCTTCTCAAGGGCTCAGAGTATCTAACTGCTCCCAACAGTCCTCAAAAGAATACTGAGGGAGAGTGGTGGAAATAAGGGCTGCAGATAAAATTTTCATTTGAAAGTCAGAGAATGAGATACAGTTACAGTAGAGTTTAACTAAGAAAAAAACAGCTTGCACATGCATACACACGTAAACACATATATTCTCTCACACGCAAACATAAACCCAAAAACACGGCAAGAAAGACAGTCAAAACAGCTGTCTCGTGGACCAGAACCAAACTGGCCTGGACCAATGAAAACTGGTAAACGCAGGCTCCTGGAACCATGACAGATGGTGTCTGGCCAGAAAACCCAAAGACAGAGGACAATCCCAGGGACCAACTGAGCCCAGCCGCTGGTTCAGTCTGACCTTGACCTGGGCAGCCTGCTCCATTTGTTGAAGACGGTTCCGCAAGGCATCCCCCTGAGCTGTAGTCTCTTCTACAAGGTCCTGGAAGGACCTCTGCAGTTCATTCAGCAGCCTCAGCATCTGCCGGTTCTGCTGAGGAGACAAATCCTGGGCATGCTCAGAGATGAAGAACTGAACATCAAAGGCAAGTGCGTCCAGCTGAGGTTTCCTCCCGGCCAAGGGCTGTTTCAGGTCCTGAGCGAGATGGGGAAGGAAGAAAAGGGAAAAGAAGCTTCTAATTCTCCATAAAAGCAGAAACTGTTGGTTCTAATCAAAGAGTCAACATAATCAAACAGAGGTGAATTTCCTGTATTTTTAAAAGTGACACTGATTACTTCTAGGGCCAACCCATAATGGAAGTTTCTCTCACTTCTGGCCTCTCCAGAGTCCTCACATATTATAGCTAGGTTTCCTTTAACTGTAATTAAACGAACAGTAAATTAAATCAACCACCAATTTCTAAATGCACTATACTTTCCATTATTTATATTAATAGAAAATAATAAATAGCAGTGCTATTTATATTATAGCACTGATAATCCCAAATATCTGTGAAAAAATGCTATACTTTGGAAAGTAGAGCATGAATTTTTGGTCTGAGATAGATCTAATTGTATTTTATTAGGTTCAAATAACCATTTGTATTTGTCTAGCCCTGAGATACTGGTAAGCCAGAAATGAGAAAATATTCAATTTCTTAGTGGTTCACTAAAATTTGACTTTTAAATAGTTATACATGTTATACATTTAAAACTGTACAAAAATGTCAAACATGTTATACATTTTAAAACTGTAAAGGATTACAGTCAGATAAAGTAGTAAAAAACTGCCTAAACACTAGAATTTATCTGCTTTTAGACAATTAAAAAGCATGCAATATTCCCACAAACTTTTAGTAATCATTACCCACGTTATACTGGATGCAATTAAAAAACCATAAAAACAAGTAGAATACCTGCATGTCTATCACTTTGAAATTGGGAGCAGTCAGCAATCCTGCAAAGTGGGCTTATAGGAGGACTACTTGCATATTTATCATATGACTATACTTCCTTTGTCTGTGAACACATGGATTTGGGAAACTCACTGGGAAAATGAGGCTTAGACTGTGGCTCTCTTCCCATAACGGAATTCATATAATTTATAACTAGGCAAGGACACAAATCTAGGAGGTGCTCTGTTTTTATATTTCATACTATGTCATAGGAATTTTTCTCACCCTTGCTTCTTTCAAAACTCTGTCAGTGAACAGAGTCTGCTACTCATTCCTCCATCAGTATATTTGGATTAAAGGGTATGAAGGCATTAAAGAAGGCAGGTCAGTGCTGACCGAGCAGAGCCGGCAGCGCCGGGATGGTGCTGCTGGATAGTGAACAGTTCCTGACGGAGCTGACTAGGCTCTTCCAGAAGTGCCGGTTGTCGGGCAGCGTGTTCATCACCCTGAAGAAGTATGATGGCCAAACTAAACCCATCCCAAGGAAGGGTTCTGTGGAGGGCTTTGAACCCTCAGACAACAAATGTCTGTTAAGAGCTACTGACGGGAAAAAGAAGATCAGCACTGTGGTGAGCTCCAAAGAGGTGAATAAGCTTCAGATGGCTTATTCAAACCTGTTGCGAGCTAACACGGATGGGCTGAAGAAGGGGGACAAAAAGAGCAAGAGGAAGAAGAGCAAAGCAGCACAGTGAAGGGCACCAGCGTTCCCGCTTTCACCAACTGACCACTGAATTGCTATTTTTCCTCTGGTTTTTATTTTTGGCCACAAAGCTGAGTTTCTGATTCCCTTATAATGACTGTTTTCATGTGAGATTAGGGTCATTTTTGGATGAAGGGCTGCAGTGTTTACAGGGTAGTTACAAGAAGCCAGTTTATCTTAGATCTGGCTAAGTGGTTTGTGTTGGACGGCTGTATATTCCTGGGTAATAGTTTACAGACTCTCTAGCCATCTGTAAAGAGCAGTGTATTATTTAACCTGTATTTATCAGCACTGACCAACTTTGACTCTTTTTCCTGCCCCATAAAAAGGTTCTGGCCACAGCTCCTCGTTCTGGAATGATGTGATATGAATAGGCTTGAGGCCCTGTCTTGTGGTTTACTGGAACTGAAACCTGACAATTTTATTAAAAGTTGTGTTATTTCATGGGTTTCCCAGCTGGCTGTATAATTTTATCATCTTAGTGCCTTTAGCAAATTTGAATGAGTTTCATAGCCAAATAAGAGTTTGCTTAACCAGACTAAGGATAAACTTATTAGAGAATCATCAAGAATAAAGATTCCAAGTTAATGATGAAAAAAAAAAAAAAAAAGAAGGCAGGTCAACTCTTCCAAGATAAAGAAGGGCAAGGATGCATACAAGGGAAATCTGACCACAGACAACATTTAGGTCTGTACCTCTTAAGACTGGGGAAAAGGAAGAGGATGGAATAGGAGGGAACATCTCTAGTTCTGCTTTGACTTCAGAAAGAATTTGAGAGGAATAGCTATAGCAGAGGGTGGATAAACCAATGTGAGCATTACCTGATATTATCTTAAGTATAATTCAAAAGAAACAACAGTGCTGAGGGCAGGAGAATCCTAGGCTTAAATGTATCTTAGAATCTTAATTCTCACTGACTTACAAAAAAGAATCAATTAACTTGGAGTTTAACAAGAAGAAAACCATCTCTCAAGATGAGGGGTTGGTCATCTACATTCCCCAAGCCAGACCTGCCTGTCATCTGATCTTGTAAATAAAGTTTTACTGCAACATGTCTACAACAATTTGTTTATATGCTGTGTATGGCTGCTTTCATGTTTCTACAGCAGAGATGAACAATTGCCACAGAAACAGGCCACATGCAAGACCTAAAATATTTACTGTCTGGCCCGGTACAGGAAAAGTTTGCAAAGACTTTATTTCTCAAATGGAAAGTCAAAGTTTCTAAGTAAAGGCAAGTACAGATACTGGTCTGCCTAGCAGAGACATAAAATTAATACAACACAAAAGGGCAAATAAAACATGCTTGAGAGCTGGTGGTGCACTCACCTCACACCGTTGGAGGCAGTGATTCAGGCTGTCAGCATCTGTTTCACTGTCATATTCCTTTTTGTTCAGAATAACATGGGTATTGTCAACCCAGGTTCTCAGATCTTGAAGTCTGCCTTCTAGCTGTTCATACTGATTTAACACTCTAGTCTAAGAAATAAATGGCAAGTTAGATGATAAAACTCTCCAAGCCTGCCCAGATTCTGTGAGCCTTTGTAAATAAAAACAAGAAGCTACCTTCTGTACTTCCAAGGCACTCTGGAGGTGGAGCAGTCTGGAACCCCAGGTGTCACTCACAGAGCTGAGGGACTTTTGAAGATTCTTGGCGTCTTTTTCTAGCGCCTTCAGCAGTTGAGCTGGGACTTCCTGAGGCTGGCTGATGATAATCTGATCCACACACTCCAATTCCTGACTCACCACCGTGGACAGATCCTTTAGCTCCTTGTCTAATACCTGAGGGCATAAACTGGAGTTACCATCAAAATCGAGACTAGAAATCTTGCTGTCTTAGAATCAGCTGTAAACACATTATTCTGTCACCTCATGCTTACACAGGCTTTAGGGCTTATAAAATGTTTTTATAGACATTCATTCGTTTTTCTGTTGTTCTCACAATCAACCATTCTTGAGGAGGCAGAGCAGACATCATAATCCTGAATTTATAGGACAGATGCCTCAGTGCTTAAAAATGTGAATTTGTTTTTCCCTGAGGTCACCCAGCTGATAAGCAATAAGAGCCCAGACGTGCAATCAGGTTTTCTGACTCAGGGCAATGTTTCTTGCCCTACAACTTGCTACCTCTCCAAGAGTGTCATTAACTTTAAATAACGTGATGCAACACGTCAACCAAAGGACAACTCTTCCACTCCGAAGTTCAAGCAAGTGGAACCAAAGAACATAAAAATATCCCAAGCCAGCTTTTCCACCCGGCTATTCCTCAATATTCTGCTCCTCAGCAAAGAAACCAGAAACAAGCTGTGGAAGAGCCTGGTAGTTCTCTGGGCATCGTCCTCACCTCCCCTTCGGCTATCCTGCCGAAGCCCACGCTCTGGACACTGAGAGAACTGGTAAACCTCTACAATCTGCACTCCTCGTGACTCCAACCCTGTGACAGCTCTCAGCCTCCATGTCTATGTCCACGCCTTTCCACGTCCTCAGGGACCTTAGTCCATCAGTGAACACTTATTCTCTTCCCTAACTTCAAGTTCTCCTGTTCTATCGGTTCTTTCTCCTCAGCCTAAAAGCCCACTCAGAGCTTTCCTCTGCCAATGCACTTCCTCTAGCTAGTGTCCGACCTCTCTTTCCGTGTCTGCACTACCAAGCTTCTGGAAAGCATGACCTACGTTAACTGTCTCCACCTTCCAACATCCTGTTTATTCTCATTGCAACCTAGTTCATATCCCACCACTCGACTGTGGCTGTTCTTATCAGGCGCCTGGTGACTCTCAGGCACTGACCCCGCTTTCAGTTCTCACCGCCCTCGGTCCCCTTACTGTATCTAGTACTGCTGACCAGTATCTAATACTGCCCCGTGTCGCTAATGCTCCCTTGAGTCCCTCATGCTTTGGTTTCTGTGAGACTAGGACCCCATGCTGTTCTTCGTAGATCTCTAGTTATAGTTTTTCCAATCTACTTTTTGTCCATTAAACAGCAGTGCTTTTGAACATGTTTTTCTTCCTTCAGGAGCTTCTCTTGTGGTGTCTTCTCACTTTTCTCAAGCTGATGGGCCTGGAGGAAGTCTCTGGGAACCTACCTTGGCCTGACACAGCAGATCCTGTAGCTCTGCCAGGTTGAGCTCTAGAGGTTGAATCTGCTTGGTCCTCATTTCAATGTCCCGTAAAAGAGACAGATAGGATACCAAATTCTCATCATGTTCTAGGCAGAGCTGCCGGGTAAATACATTCTGTGGAGCCAAAAAGAAAACTCACTCAAATCTGACATTCTCCTTTAAGTCTGCCTTTAAAGCAGGCAGGGTCATAGAACAGAACAGAAATTTTTACTACACATTGCGTGGAATGAAATAAATTGTTATTTTATCTAAACTGTCTCAAATCAACAGACAAAAAAGCAATTCATTAATTTCCTCAGGGAGCACAAGCTCAAAATTATCAATCTATAAGCATCATTTTAGCAAAAACCTCTTCTGACTTCAGGTACCATAGCCTCAGTATTTTAACTTAGCTTCAATGCTACGCTTGCAAATTTCGGAAAGACATTCAGGGCTACTACCTAATTTTCCAAAAACTGTGTTACAAACAGATGACAATAAACTAAGCTATATCTTAGAGAATCCTCTAGTGTCCTTAAGTAGATGTATGTATACAATTAATCATACCTATGAAAACTCAGTATCCAGTCAAGAGTTTTAGCATGAAATTAGCCATAACAAGTAGACACACACACACACAAATACACCACTGGGTAACTTACTTTAGTAGCTCTGAAGGGCTCCGGGTTCACACTCGCTCCCCCTGGTACAGTCATCAGGGGGGTTTGTTCGCTGCCAGGGCTCTCTCTAAGCTTCTCCTGTGGTGTCTTCTCATCCATCTTCATTGTGGGGCACGATATTGGGAGCACCATCTCCTCTTCACTGGTGTCTGGAATAGGACTAATGGTGGCATCCTGTTGTCCTGTACTCTCTTTTTGAGACACCTCTCTGGACAGTTTCTCTGGGAGAAGGGACACCGAGACTCTGGGAACTCTCTGAGTCACTCTGCCTTCAAAGGACCCTACTTCTGCACCTGTAACTATAAGGTTTGACATTTGTAGAGATTCCTCTCCAGGTATTTCCTGAGTTGCCACTATTTTAGACTCAAGAATTCTGCCATGTTCACGATCACTTTTGTTGTCCTGAGGATGAAGGTCCTTTCTGTCCGAGAACTCCAGATAATTGACTTCTTTGGAGCCTACTCTAATTTCTTCCAATTTAACAGTGCTTGTTGAGTCAAAACGTACTTCTTGGTATGATTTTTCTTTATATTCATTAGGTAAGAAAGTCAAATCTTTGGTTTGCCTAATCTTCAAGGCAACACAAGAATCTTGATGATAATCAGTCTCCTGTCGGGTGGTTCCTTGGAAAGACTTGTCTGTTGTGAAAACTGGGGCTGTGTCTGCAACTTGGACTCCTCCCACTGGTTCCTGGTCGTGCAATCCTTCATGCCTTGGGGTCAAAGAGGACAGCAGTTCACTCTGGATCCCAACAATAATTTCTTGAGATTCACTGACTAGATTAGAGTTGAAGAAGGTTAAAGCATCTTGATTTCTTACAGAAATTCCTTTGGGTGTCATTTGGGAAGAAGAGTCTTCAGTTTCACCAACAACAGAAGAGTCCAGATCCCTGTCAGTTTCTTTCCCTTTTTCACGTGCAGTTATCTCCATACATTGATTCTCTATATTGGAGTCACGGTCATCACTAACGGCAATTTCCTGATTCAGCTTTTCTTCTGAAAGAACTGCTGGTCTGTGGGTCTTGACTCTTTCTTCTACAATCTTCTTCCCTCTCTTACCCTTCTCCATGGTTTTCATCGGTTTCTGTATAACCTGCTGACTTAGCAATTTCTCTAAAGTTTCATGATTTGACTCTTGCACTTCTGGAATAATTCCTCCTTGGTTTTCCCTTACTTCTTTAGAATCTAGACTTGATATAGACTGTTTCATATGAGA